GTCAGCAAGTTGTTTGAGCCGTCTTCCGGTGGGAGGGGCCTGTTGTACTGACTCTCAGGCTTGTTTCAGTGGAAATGCGACTCCGGTGCACAGGGCTCAGTGTAAACAGTTCCAGCCTCCACTAGGTGGCGCTGTTTCGCTCCCTGAAGGCTTTCAGCGCTCAGGGTGGGATGGGATAAATATGGCCGCCCAGCTCTCCAGCCCCGGAGATGAAAGTTTGCACCCCTATCCTTCAGGGAGCCCTCACAGAAGAGCAATCACTCTTGTCTCCCCAGTTTCCATCAGAACTCTGTGTTCTTCTTGCTTGTGTCTGAGCTGTTTTAGGTCAGGCATGTGATGGATTTCAAAACTCCACATTTTAGGGACTCCTGGGGAGCAAACCTGTGCTGATCTCCTGGGGGAGGGTCTCCACCGGCTTTTGCCATTTGCTGGCCCATCCCAGGAAAGCTGTCGCAGGACTGCCCAGCATTCAAAGTTTGTCGCGACACAGAGCAGAAAGCTGGCACCTAGACCGCTGCTCCCAGCTGGCTTCCCTGCTCTCATGCCTGGGAACAGGACAGCACTTAGACACTTCCTGTCTTCCTGTGACGCCAGGGATCCTCAGACTACCCTATCACTCCTGGGACTCTGCCCCACATCACCACCTGAGCACCTTTAAGCCAGGCACATGCCCCATGGTAGCGGACTTCTAAAAGTTCTGATTTTGCCCTCTGCTGCTTATAATACTTCGCGGTAGCCTCCTTAAGCAGCCTCCCTCCCCACCACAGTACCTTCAGCTTTGCCTCCCCGCAGTCAACTCTCTGCACCTCCTACCTTCCAAAAGATGGTTGCTTTCTACTTGCAGACTTGCACTTTTTGTTCTCTCAGACTTCTGATTGATTTCTAGGGTGTTCAGAATGATCTGATGACTATCTAGCTGTGTTTGAGGGACCAGACAAGCTTAGAGTCCCCCTACTCTGCCATCTTATCTCCTCTGTTAGGTTTCTTTAGAAGAACTTATCTTTTTTTTTTACTGCTTCTTACAAATGGTATCTTTTTTTAAATGACATTTTCTAACTTTGCTGCTTGTATACACAGATGCGGCTTTTACTTTTGCATATTAGTCTTTCTTTTGTCCTGAAGTCTTGCCCAGCTCACTTGCTAATTCCAAAATTGGTTTGTAGGTTCTTTGGGGCTTCTTCTTAATACTAATAATGGTTGCATTTATACACAACATATGACATGTGCCACCAGGCACGGCTCTAAGTATTTTAGATACTTCCAATTTTCACATAGCCGTGGATGCCACCATTCCCACTTACACACTGATGCTAGGAAATGTTAAATAACCCGCTTAAGGCCACACAGCTAGAAATGGTCAGAGTTGGGATTTGAGTTCTGGCAGCCTGGGGCTGAGTTCACATTATTATTATTATTACTATCATTTTTTAAGATTTATTTATTTATTTGGGGGGTGCAAGCAAAGGGAGAGGATCTTCAAGCGGACTATTTGCTGAGCACGAGCCGGACCCGGGGGCTTGATCTCATGACCCTGAGATCATGACCTGAGCTAAAACCAAGAGTCAGACACTTAACTGAATGAGCCACCAAGGCGCCCCCTGAGTTCACGTTATTAACCACTAGGCTCTTCCCACCTTTATACCATCTCTCCTGGCTGACTTGTCCAGGAGAAGAGTGCATATAAGCAGGGAAAGCCACTAACCTCATTGATTCTAACATTTTACCATTACATATGACATTTTAAACAATTTTGAAGATATCTTTTATCAGATTAAGGAGAGCCCCTCTTATTCCTAGTTTGCACATTAATTTTTTAAAAATTATGAACAGGTCTTGAGTTGTATTAAGTAAGTGTATCTTTTCTGATGATAGCAGATTTGTCAATTTCTCCTTGTAGCTCTGGCAATTTTGCTTTATCTATTTTGAGATTATTCTAATGCAGCAAGTTTAGAACTATACATCGCCTGAATGCATTGCAGTGGTTTTTATTTATCTCATATTTTTATCTTGCAATGCCCTTGCCTTACAGTCTTATTTGTCTGATATCAGTAAAATGCGACCAGATTGCTTTTGGTTAGTATGTGCTTGGCATATCTTTTTCTATACTTCCATGTTTATCCTTTCTCTGTGTCCTTTTGTTTTACGTATGCTTTACATAATATATATTTGGAAAATATCTTCTGTAGTCTGATCATGTTTTTTTGCATCAATGGGGCTTAGTCTATTTATATTTACACTGATCCCTGATACATTTGGAATTATTCCTATGACTTTATTTTGTGTTTTCTGTTGGTGCTGCTTTTTTTCCTCCTTCCTTGTTTTGCATTTGAGTGAAGTTTCTTTTTTTCCAATTTGTGTCTTTAATCTCCCATTTTTTAGTGGTTACCTTTCACATTTTTACACGCATAGCTAACACATTCGGAAGTTGAACAAGATATTTAGGCTTTCCTGAATAATATAAGGATGCTAACAGGCCTCAATTTTATTCTCTCTGCCCCCATCTCAGCTTACATGTTATTATTTTACCAAATTTTAATTCTACAGAAGCGAAGTAGTTTAAGCTGTGGATTCTGGGGACACAGGGTCTGGTTTGGGCCCTCGATCATTAACTTACCTGCTGTGAGACTTTAGACAAGTGACTTAACCTCTCTGTGTTTCCGTGACTTCAACAGTAAGAGGGGGATAATAATCATACCTACTTCTCAGGGTTGTTGAGAAGATTCCATGAGTAAGCTCTATCAAGCTCTGAGAATGTGCTTGGCACATAGTAAATCTTCAAAGATGGTTAGAGATCATTGTCATTATTTTACCCCATAAATTAAAACCCGTGTATATTGTGTATAATTTATGTATATGCATATGTATTGATGTAAATACACATCAATGTATGGCCACTTCTAAGATTTCTTTGGTTCTGGTATTTCAAGTTTTACTTGGATGTACCTAGTTAAAGAATTCTTTTTACATATGCTGATTGGGAAACTGATTCTTGAGTCTGAGAATTCATATATTGCACCAATTCTGGAAAAATTCCCACTATGATTATCTTTTCAAATGCTACCTCTCCAGTTTCTCCAGTCTTACCTTCAGAACCCCACTTACACATGTATCAGAACTTCATCTTAGCGTTTTCATATTTTCCGCATCTTTTCCCCTCTTGTATGCTGCATTCTAGTTAATGTCTTCTTCTTTTTTTCCTTAGCAGACTCCATGCCCAGTGTGTAGCCCAATGCAGGCCTTGAACTCATGACCCTGAGGTCAAGACCTGAAGTGAGATCAAGAGTTGGATGCTTAACCAACTGAGCCACCCAGGTGCCCCCCCTAGCTAATTTCTTTAGCTATATCAACTGGAAGTTGGCCATTTTTTTCTTAGCTGCATCTCATCTGCTATTTTCCTTGTCCCCTGAATTTGCTTTTATTAAACATTCTGATGCCAATTTTCAAACTTAAAAGAAGAGAGAATAATTTAATGACTAGTATGTTGCACTTGTAACCCAGCTTCAGCAATTAATCCATGGCCAATCTCGTTTCATCTTTTCTCCCACCCATCCATCTGCCCACCCCGCATTATTTCAAAGCAAATCCCAGACATCTTATCATCCACTGAATTTATTTTTCAATTATTATAGGTTTTGTTTCTGAAATCCCATTTGCTTATTTTACTAATCTGTTCTTTCGGGGTAATTTCTTATTCTTTACTGATACTTATTTTATATTCTGTAACGGATCATTTGAATCCTTGCTATCTTTTGGGATTTGGTCCTCTGATGTTTCTGCTGACTCTTGATCCTGATAACTTATTTGTGTGTGTGTGTATTTTAACTTCCACATAGAAATACATTTTCTTTTAATTTAAATTTTAGTTAACATACAATGCAATATAGAAATAAATTTTTTTAAAGATTTTATTTATTTATTTGAGAGAGAGAGAGACAGAGATAGCGAGAGAGCACGAGCAGGGAGGAGAGGGAGAAACAGGTCACACTGAGCAGGGAGCCCAATGCAGGGCTCAATTCCAGGACCCTGAGATCATGACCCGAACCAAAGGCAGACTCTTAACCGACTGAGGCACCCAGGTGCCCCTAGAAATAAATTTTCTGAAAACACAGATATTAATTGTCCCATGCCAGATGGTCCAACAAATTTCCAATAATGTAATCTTCCCAATCTTGCAAGAAAATTTTATTCCTTTGAATAGATAAAGAGACCAAAGCTCTGAGAGGTTAAATACTTGTCTGAGGCCACACTGTTCATAAATGCCAGAGTTGGTGTTTGAACCCAGGCCCACCTCTCCACATCCCTGCCCTCCCACAGTCCACCATCCATAGGGAAACTGACACCCAGGTATGAATCCTTGAGTGCCTGACCTCCGTTGACTTGGGGCTTCTGGGGGTTTCTTCATGGGGTTCCACAGGAGCCCCCGAGGAGACGAAGAGCCTCATGAGGGCCTCCTACACTCCAGAGGTGATTGAGAAATCAGTGAGGGACATAGAGCACTGGCATGGCAGGAAGACGGACGATCTGGGTACGCGGGGTGCTGGGCTGTGGGAGGCGGGTGCTCCCTTACCCGGGCAGGGTGTGTTGGCCCCAAGGTGCAGAGGGAGACCAGAGCAGCAGGTAGAGCTCTGGGGTGGGTCTGGGAGAAGCATGGATCACCTCTGGGGCCCGGGCACTCCAGAAGTCCTCTGGGTGATCTGGGCTGGCTCCTTCCCTGCTCTCTGCAGGACGGTGGCACCAGAAAAATGCGATGAATATGAACTTACAGAAAGCATTGGATGAGAGATTTGGAGAAAAGAGCAAAAACAAGAGCTCAAAGTACTAGATACGACTGGGAAGAGTTGCCCTCCACTCAGAGAAAGCACTAACAATAAAGAAAAACACATCTGAATGTTCTCCTCTTCTTGTTGCTTCCCTTCACGTTGGGGTGGGGGCAGATGTGTGGTACTGGAAAGACCAACTGGGGGAGGAGAGAAGCCCCAAGAGCCCAAACTCTCCTCAGACCTTCCCCCTAGACATACACCCCTTCCCTCATAATTCCAGGACAGGATGTGGGAGCTGAGCGCCGCTTGGCTTCTCCCTCATGTCCTGTGGGAGGGGCCTCACAGTGGACACTGTGGGAGTTTACCTTGCATGTCCTCCCTAGCTGAACCCCGATTATTTTCAGACATCATTCCTCCCCCAGGAACCCATGGACTTCAGAGGAATCAGGCATGCCCCCTCCCCCCACCCAGTGCAAGGGTGGGTTTGATTGGTCTCAGGGTAATTCTCGCCTCTCTCCCTGCGCACACAAACTGATTGGTTCAGAAATGGGCGTATGACTCAAATTGGGCCAATGAGATGCAAGGAGAGGTGCGGGTGTGTGGAGCCTTCTGGGAAATTCTTTTGTCCACTGGGAGAGCTGGGAAGCATCCCTCCCTCCTGTTGTGTTGAGTGAGGAATGATGCAGTGCAGACCGCTCCTGGCGGAAAATCTGGGACCGGAGGAATCGCAGACGCTGGGGCACGATCTGGATTCTCCTTGACCTCACTGAGCTGCTCCATCCACCTGGCCAGAAGCCACCACTTCTGGACTTCTTATAAGGCGAGCCTGGGCAACTTTTCATTGTTTAAGACAAAGTCATCATTAGCCAGTCAAGGTCCCTGGTAACAACAGGGGAGGGACCTGGGGACTGGGTTCCCAGGGAAGAGTCCTCCAGGGATGGGGTTCCAATTTAGACCGTCATGTCTACCAGCTGATCCCGAAGGGCTTTACCTGGTGGGTCTCCAGGCCAGCAGCAGTGTCACTGACATGCATCCTCAAAACTTGTCCCACTCATGGGTTGTTGTTTCCTGTGTTCCAAACCACACTCAAACCAAGAGGCTTAAAACGACAATGATCATTTATTTGCTTGTGATTATGCAATTTGGCTTGGTGTGACTCATTTCTGCTCCATGTGGCGTCTGTTGTGGGAATGACAGCCGTTCTCACATGCCTGGTACCCGGTGGGGATAAGTGCCATAGCTGGGGGCTGCCTGGGCATCACTCTCTCCCCATGGGGCCTTCCCTTGTGACTAGCTTGGGCTTCTTCTTGACATAGTGATGGCATTCCAAGGAGCAGCTTTCCAAAGGGACAAGACTCTAGTGTGTAAGAGCTTATCACACCTTGCACTGGCTTGTTAACGTCCCTGTGGTCAAAGGGACATATGGTCCAGCCCAGACTCATACTAAGAGACTGCACAAGAGTATTAGCATAGGCAGGACAGGTTCAAGTTCAATAACAGCCTACCACAGTGATCACCATGCTTTGGAAAAATTGAAAGCAGATCGCTGTCAGGAGAAGGGGAACCACAAAAGGGAAAGATTTTTTAAGACAGGATTGGAGCAGGATGCAGCATGGGGAAGTGAGCTTGGTTTGATTTAATATTGATTGGGTACCTAATTACGTACGAGGTGCTGAGTTCAGCTCAACTTCTTTATGGAGTATGTAATTTCTACAAGGCACTGTTCTTGTGCTGGAAAACCAGACTTCATTTTTATTGAGTAGCTACTATCTGCTCATCACAACTTAGAGCTGAAAAAACACACCATCCTGGGTGTTGTAGCAATAGCAGACCTCATGCTATTCTGACCTAGAAATTGTAATATGCCTGGTGCATATGATTGTATGTCCAATGCTTTACACACACAACCTTCTTTCATCCCGACACCAGTCCTCAGAGCTAGAATCTTTATGAAGATGGGAAATCCAAGGCTTGGAGAAACCAAGTAAATTGCCCAAACTCATGCCACTAGGAAGCGGGGATCGGAAGTCCAGAAATTTCTGACCAAAGCCATTTTCTACTCTACCAGACAATCGTACTGTCATGTCAACAAATACATACTGAGCACCGCAAACACTCAGCCCTGTTAGGCACTGTGAGGGACAGTGATGTGAATCCAATAAAGTCCTTGTCCTCAAGGATGTTCCGGTCTGCAGAGGACTGATGTGGAAAAGGCTGGCCTTGGGGCTCATCCATCCAACTGACCAAATTGTAATGTGCATCTACCCTCTGACCAGCACTGCCCAATGAATGGGGAATTGAGAGGTGAATAAGACATGATGCCTGTCCTTAAGGAGCCCAGAGTCTGGTGGAGAGACAGATATATCAGTGCATGGATGCTCAGAAGTTTTGCAGATGCAGTGAGAAGTTCATCCAAGGCAGAGGAAGTACAAAGGAGAACTTGGGATGGGATGGGGCTGGTGGTCACAGAGGCATTCACAGAGGAGGTAGCTCGAGTCTTGGCACATGAATAGGTAACTCAAGTGGATTGGAAGAGACAAAGCATTCGAGACAGAGGACACAATGTGAATAAAAAGCCAGTATGGTGTCCTTGGCCACCGATACAGCCCAGGGGTCTTGCTAAGCTTGGAGGGTAGGGCTCCCAAGGTGGGGCACAGAGATCAGGTGGGAAAGACAGATGGAAAAATCTGTGCCTGGACGGGGCTGTGCCCTGGGAGAGCCTTACATGTGAGATCCAGCCCCTTCCTCCAGAAGCTCATAACCTAGCCAGAACAGAGGGTTCATAAGGACTGAAGAAGCCAAACAGAAGAGTTGAGAAGATGCTCAGCATCTCCAATGATCAGAGAGACACAAACTAAAACAAAGTCCTTGGGTTGGCAAACATTCAAAAGCAAGTGGAGGTGAGGTGGAAAGTGGGACCTCTCATACAATCCATGAACTGTGAATGCACAGCAGCAAGGAAGAATTAAGCAAAATTGAAATCCTATAACCTAGAAACTCCACTCTCTGTAGCCTGAAGAAACTCTCACATGATCACGAGGAGCCCCGCACAAAGACATTCACCGCCGTGCTGTGTGCACGTACATGTCTGCCAGCAGGAAAATGGACAAACGGGTAACCTACAGCAGGGGAAAGGAATGACCTGGGTCGCCAGATGGCAGCATAGAAAGATCTCACGATACGTGGCAGTGGGTTCTGGAAAGGACAATCTGCAGAACAAGCCTTACTGTATGAAACGGCACCATTTGTGCAACCTTCAAAAGGCACACACAGAGCCCCTCATTGCTCATGGAAGCAGTGATGAGTAGCGGAGGTGGATTGGAAGGAGGCAGACATTCAGCTTCACATTGTATTTATTTAGCTCTTTTCAGATGCTTTGCTTCCTGTAATTGCCAGAGAGTTGCCAAAAGGGGAGCTGATTTAACATCAAGCCAGCGATTTCAATTTTGACATAAGCGAGCAAATGTAACAGGTGTCATGACTTTGCCTCAGCTTAAGATTTGACCCCAGAACATTAAGATGAACTCTTTTAGGTTAAATATTGAATATTCAAGAGAGAGAGAGAGAAGCCATAATACAGGCAAAATAAAACATGCATAGATTTTTAAAAAACTAAGTCCTTTACCCATTGGTGCTGTTTCCAACACTGTTCCTTGTTCTTCATTCTCCTGAAGTCCCTAGACGGTGGAATTCACAGTGATTCTTAAAGTTTCAAGGAGGTACAGGGACCAGGTCTTAAGTAGCATTAATTCACATGGTGGAAAAGTTATCTATCCTTTAATCCATGCCATCCCATTTGCTCAGAGTGACTCAGAACCATCTTCTTAATTTCTCTTATACCCAAGTACAACCTGAGAGGGAACTTAAAAAAGCAACCTCTGATGCTCCTCGGGAGAGCCAGCCCACCTGCCTCACTTGGCTATTATCTTGATCCAGCTCTACCCCTGGTGGCCGTGTCTCTAAATTGCAGGCTGAGTATGTAGGCTTCATAAATCCAGGAGGTACACGTTAAGGAGGGGACCTAGAGAGCATTAGGTTACATCTTTCTAACCATGTCTTTTCTGCCCTCCACCCATAGCTCCATTTACAGATGAGGAAACTGAGGCCCAGTTGAAGGAGTTTATGTCTAATCTGGAAGTGAACAACCATGTGGCCAGATTTGCAAATCCAACTGTCCGCAGTGGTGTGGGGTGGCAGGCAGAGCCTTCTCCCGTTCTCCCTCCAGGAATCATGGCCTCTGAGCTGCAGCAAAAGCAAGGGAAAATCCAAATGCAGCTTTGTAGTCTAGAGGCAACGAGGGACTTTATAGCCATAGGGGATTCTCACACTGGGCTTGAGTCCCTGGGAAGAGCACCTGACTTGTCAGAGCCTGGCACTCATGTCCAGCAGAGATCTTTGTCAGGATTACCTGAGAAAGTGCATGGCCAGGGTCTGGCACAGTGCAGAGCCCTCTTACAGGTGCAATGAACGCTTGGTCTTTTCTTTCCTTTCCTTCAGGACCAGGCTGCAGGGAACGCTGCAACATGCTAATAGGTGTTCTGTAAAAATTGTCCCATCGTCAAGTGAATTTGGGTGACGCTGGTTTAAATAACCCTAACAGATTTCTTTTGTGCAAGACTTCTTAAAACTGGGAATATGCTAAAATTCCTTGTGTCACTCCAAATTCTTGCATGTAGGGTTCCGTTTCCCATTGTGCCTGGTGCAGATAGAGCGAGCCGTTAATATCTGCAACAAGAATAATGATTTTATTAAAATTGCAGGTTTGGAAGCCTGGGAAGTCAGGCCAGGAAGAGTAACCCTGTTTTTGGGGGGGTGGTAAATGGGTTGATGTGTGAACCAAGATGCTCATTATCAAGGTTTCTGCAGAACTATGGCTGTCAAAGGGCCTGGCACCCCTTCCCTCTGGTCCACCCTGCAGGTAGCCCACCTGGGGAGCAGATAAGTAATCAGAAAAGGCATGAGCCTGTCCTTGGGATGGGGGGCTGAGGTTTATGACTGGTATTGCACCAGGCAGGCTGAGGGAGGGCTAGCCCAGCCTCCTGCTCACTGCCCTGTGTTGCTA